ATCAATTTCATTAGTTCACTATTAGTAGGGGGGACATCTTGCATATTAGGAAGGAACGTATCTTTATATAGAGATATGATGTTTTCGCTGTAAAAAGGAGCCAACGACATTCAAATAAAAAATCTTACGATTACTATAACAGTACACCATTCAGGCGTAAAAGAAGGACGAAAATCAATTATTTCTAGTACCTATATAATATGAGTAATATAGTAAGTATGGCTTAAAACCCTGTAATACAAATTTTTATATATTTATAAAAAATCAGTATAGGTATTCAAACTTTATGGAAGTATCATAGAAAGTAATTTAAGAGCATGGAGGGTAAAAGTTTCAAGTTTTGGAATTTTCCTGTCATCTGCTGACACTATCTCACATTTCAAATTTCAGCTTTCTGCGACTTTTTTGATGTTCTCATCAATGAGTTAGTGTATAAGTACCGGAACGGGGGTTTTTTCAATATCAATAAAATCAAAACTATACCTTATAGCTATCCAGTTAAAACTTTGTATGTTTAATAAATTCATGATTGGGATTAAATCCTGAAAATTTAAAGTATCTAGTGTAATCCAAACATGAGTTATGAGAGGAAAATCCGACGTACCGTTTCGAGAAAAAGTACGTAGCCTCGCTCTTCGTTTGTCTTTTGGCTCGGCTTTGGCGGACCACTACGCCGGCCCTAGATTTACTTCATATTAATTTTATATTTTATGTAACAGCGCTGCTGCAAGTGTTGTCACCGCACCTCAGTACCCCGCCAACTTTCTCGTCAGTTTTTAATAGAAAATGTGTAAATATACATTTATACCTAAATATAAATTGTTTTATATTTCTAACTCTGACTGACTTTTATTTTACAAAAAACTACTGAAATACACTAATCACGATATTATCCTATACTTTCAACAGCACTACATGTATACAAATCTGTCGAATGCCTCCAATTGATGCTTTGAGGATAGAATTTAATATGAAATTGTTTGAAACATAATTTTGAAAAATTTGACACACAGGACCACAGTGTTTTAGATTAACCAAGAGTACCTAAAGCAGGTTACTATGCTTGGACTTAAGTGTTCAAACCATCTATATAATATAAGTGATTTAATCTACACACTCCTACAAGGTCTCCCGCTGCAGCTTTTCAAATTGATGGCATCATCACCACCAGCCCTTTTTACGTCACCACTGCAGGGGCTCAGGTCTTCCTTATGGACGGTTAAGGAGGATGAGCCATGACCCTCCACGCTGGCCCAATGCGGATTGGAGGGTATTAACGACTGCAAATTCAGCCGGGACCAACGGCTTAACGTGCCTTCCGAAGCACGGAGTAGCTCGAGATAATAATTTTTTGGTCACCCATCCCGTGACCGACCCTTGCGAAAGTTGCTTAACGACTACGATCGCGGGCCGCGGCGCTTTTCCACTACGAGCTAATCGATGGCATAGTATTTCGATATTTACGAGTAATTGTAACAGCCTTTTTTCTCGTCGATGAAATGCATTAAGCTTGAATTGCTTACCCGCCAATAGACTCTAAGCTGGCAAGCTGGATCTTGTTCATCTGTAACCTCCCAGCTATTCCTGACACTATCAATTTTTTATCTTTTTTAGATACAGGGTTATGAGTTAAATCAATCGTTGGGTATTCTAGCTATTTGTATGCGCTGTTTCAAGGTGGCAATAGTAAAAAGGAAACGAAAATTCAATAATATAATTATTTGAGTTTCTTTCTATAGCAATAGCAAGTCAACGCGTCGATCAGCACTTTATTTGGACTGTATGCAATTAAAGTGGCCTGTTATAAACACCAAAGATGCTTTTTCAAAATACTAGGATGAGGGACTCATCCTAGAATGCAGTAATATATTATATAATATAAAGAAGAATCCCAATACGAAAATTAGAGTAAAATAGTTAATAACAAAACTAGTATCTGTAATCACTACATAGTATAAAACAAAGACGCTTTTTCTGTCCCTATATCCCTATGTATGCTTAAATCTTTAAAACTACGCAACGGATTTTGATCCGGGTTTTATTCTTAGATAGGGTGAAAAGGAAGATTTTTATGTATAATACAAGACCACCAGGACGAAGCCGCTGAAAGCTAGTGAAATGAATAAAATGTATGAGCCTAAATAAAAAAAAATGTGATAGCATAAGAAGGAAACGCAACAAATATGTACAATAAAAAGCCCCCCCAGTAATTAAATCTTATATATAAAAATGAATCGCAAAATGTGTTGGTAAGCGCATAACTCAACAACGCCTCGACCAATTTGGCCAAATCTTTTTTTAAAATGTTCGTTGAAGTTCAAGGATGGTTTTTACGGCGAGAAAAATTAGAATTATTGCTGGAAAAACCCTAAAAATAGCCCTTTTCTTTTTCCCATACAAATGATTTGTAACTAAAACGTAGTCAATTTGAGCTTTATTGCTATGGTATAAAGTTCATATTAAATTACAAGCACTCACTGTTGTCTAAGCAATGTAGGTGTGTTCCTAACGTCAAAGATCATATCTATCAAAACAATGTGCGTGTGTGCGTTGGAGCACAGAATACATAGTTGGAGGAGTTTAATGTCGCGTTCCGAAACTCGCGTTTCTTTTGTATAAATAAAACAATTCGTACGGCTTAAAAGGATTTGACTTCAAGTCATATCAAATTAAAAAAAAAAAGTTGTCTGTGAATTACTTACTTTAAAATCCTTATAGGTATATGTTTTATTTAATTATTTTTTATTCACAACGCCCTATCACCAGGGTGACGGTTCTGTTCAGGAGATTTTTTTTAAATACGTAAGCAAAAAACTGCCACATTACAAATCTTTTTGACAGGACGAAGTCTGTCGGGTCAGCTAGTAATAAATAAAAATGTAAAGATAGAATAGAGTAGTCGGTGAACCCGACCGTTAGAGGAGTGAAAAAGAGGATAAAAATGTAAAAAAATATCGCCTATGTTAATTTTACGCAGCGTTCGCAAGATAATTAATAAATGTAATTTATTATTTTCGACTATTTCTTATTGGTTCCCCCTATTTCAATACATATACAAGGAATACCTGCGCCTATGAACGAGGATATTAATAGATCGACGTTGATTAGTAACTAGATTAGTTGTTACAAAGTGCTGCAAGAACAGCTGATTGTGCAAAACAAAACTATGACAACCGTAAGTGTTTAAGGTAATGATCAAGGCAGATGTTGTATGAGGTCGTAACTAGTACCTACACAAGACTTGACCAAAAAAAAAAATACTAACTTTTATATGTGTTTATTTACAAACTACATATATTTTACGTTTCAAATGAGATCTACATGCATATTTCGCATTTTATTTCTAAAGCATATTCAAAATGTTCAACATCTTCTACAGTATGATAAATTTCTTTTGAAAAAAAAAAAACATCACCATGACATCGTTATATTTTATTCTCAAAAGCAGTAAGGATAGTTAGGGCAGAAATTAGCGGGGAAGTTAGCGGGGTACTGAGGAGCAGCGACAACAGCAGGGCTGTAAACATAAAATATATAAAATTAACATACAACCATGAAGTTACACACTACAAACAGACACACAATACACTACAAATAACAAAGAAGAAAGAAAAAGTTTGACGGGTTCCATACCATTTCAATTTTAAATTGAACTTAAATACGAGAATATAGAAAACTTATGGATTTAAGGATATATTTAATTTTCAATTAAAATTATATATACTCACTCCAAGGGAGCAACTGGTAGAATGCTGGGGTTGTATACCCACTCAGGTATGGGTTGTCCATCAATAGTGAACCGCGGGCCCATACCGGCATCGCAGTACGGGTAGTTGGGGCATAGCGCTGGGTTTACACCGGGAGGGTACTCGAGGCACATCGCCACCGCGGCCAACAGGCAGACAATGAACTAAGAAAGCGAAAAATTAATATTAGACTCACAAAAGTCAAATACATTGTTCAACCGCTTGTGAATATTCGCTTATAAAAATACTTACCAATTTAGCGAACATCTTGTGTCTTTGTTTTCCTTTGGAGCTAAACACTGAGACTAATACTAGCTAACGACTGTCGGCTCAATTTATACTGGCAAAACTAGATTTAACTATTATATCAATTACAATTATGTTAACTGTGTTTTATGTTAAATAGATATTATAGCTTATAAGCAAACTTAACCTATTTTTAATAATCTTAATTAAATCTTTATATTCCTAAAATCACAAACTTATGAAGTTTGCTATCTTATGTACCGGCTTTTTATATTTGTGCACTATAAGGATTGAAAAAAGTTGTATTTGAGTATTTTGAGCATCTCGTCCCGTAAATATCTTTGAGACTTAAATAAAACGCGAAATAAAACGTGAAATTATTATAAGTTAATTTGTGTTAATTCACGTAGAATGAAAAAAGAGCAAATAATATTATAAGGCATCAATTTTGTGAAGCATATATGATATGATTTAAAAGTCACCTTAGATATTAATTCTACAAAGTCAATCCAAGATGAAACTCAGTTTATCATTTTAAATGTATGTATACTTTATTATAATTACCACCATATATGTTAGTCATACTAATATTGTTTAGATGATTCAACTTTTATATTTCTGGTATAATCAATGATTTCCCCTTTCTTTACCCATTTTTTTTGAGATTACATTTAATTAAAAAACCATTTCTTCTATTACCAAAAATCTATGCTAATTTCATAAAATAATTATCAATTGCAACTCGGTGCTATACAAATAAAAAATATAATAATAGGAGTTGGTTCATATTTAATTAATATCAAATAGGAAAAATACATATACCACATTAGTGATCTAATTACTTTTATATTCCAAAAAAACATAAAAAACTTATTATTTATCAAATTTTGTTAAATTATAATTATTATTGGTATACTCATTAGACCGAGTTTTACGAATATAAATAGACTCGGCGATTGCTAGCCAGTATCAGTCTCAGTGTTGAGCTCGAATAAACATAAACACATCATGTTCGCTAAATTGGTGAGTGTTGATTGATAGTAAAACACTTACTATAGGTAATTCGCTAATAGCAGCTAATGTGCGATTAGCGAATTTTATTATATTACTTATGGTCAAAAATGAAATAGAATTCTTTGTGATATATATTTCTAACTCTATTTTTTCCTTTCTTCAGTTCATTGTCTGCCTGTTGGCCGCGGTGGCGATGTGCCTCGAGTACCCTCCCGGTGTAAACCCAGCGCTATGCCCCAACTACCCGTACTGCGATGCCGGTATGGGCCCGCGGTTCACCATTGACGGACAACCCATACCTGAGTGGGTATACAACCCTAGCGTTCTACCAGTTGCACCTTTGGAGTGAGTATAATTTTACTTGTTTTTTTTTTATCCTCAATCTTATTTCAGTTGGTTATAATTCAAATTAAAAAATTAAATTGTATTAACCCGTTGCACCCTTTTCTTGCTATTATATTCGCTTTTATTTTAGAGTTTATTTATTTCATGACGTTTAATATTATATTTTCTGTTTACAGCCCTGCTGTTGTCGCTGCCCCTCAGTACCCCGCCAACTTCCCCGCTGCTTTCTGCCCGAACTACCCTTACTGCTTTTGAAAATAAAATGAAATGACGCGACTTTGATACTTTATTTACTAAAGAGTTTTATCATATACTGAAAAAGTTTCTGAACTAGAATTACATATGTCCTCTACAAATGAATTATCTAAGTGAATTTTGAAATATGTTCTCAGTGATAGAACAACACACCTAATCATACAAAAGTTTTAATATCTGTCTTTTTTTTAATAATCGCATTTAAATTGTAAAGAGGAACTCGACGGCGCAGGGAACACTGCGTTCGGTTTTCTTGTGTGAAAGTTTAGCAATATTAACAAGGTCCTTTTAAGGATGGGTGACCAAAATATTATTGTCTCGAGCTCCTCCGTGGTACGGAAGGTACGTTAAGCACTACAGTCATTAAAACCTACCAGTCCGCACTGAGCCCGCTATGGCGACTAAGTGTCATGGTCCATTTCCTTATTCGATTCGATTTTATCCAAAGGGGATGCCTATACCCCATCAGTGGGGAGATTAATAAACTGATAATGAAATGAAAAAAAGTATCTATTTATAATATAAGGAAGGAAGATATAAGAGAAGGAAGGAATTTACAGTTAAAGCAAGGCAACAAAAATACGATTGGCAAATTTTCGAGTTAACAGTGCGTGAATACCAAAACTCACTAACTATTAATTACTTTTGTACCAATAAAAACTATCCAAATAAGCTGTAATTAAACATGACAAAACCAGATTATACGCATATCTAAGGTTTTATCACAGCCAAATCGCGATTGTATAATTAAAAAGTTTCTTTTTTGTTATGGGTTCATACCCCAATTCGGAGTAAAATGAACTGGTATTTTTTTTTCTGGTGATTACGTTCGGGTTCTTCCTGGTACCAATCCAGAATATGCCTCTTTATTAACCTTTCCCTGGCTAAAAAAAAGAGTAAAAAGTAAAGAAGGTAATAGTTGTTCTGTATGGTTATATTGTAGAGTGTAATTGCTGCATATTTAGATGTAAGAAGAAAGGAAATCATGTAGGTATATCCAAAAGACCGTTATGCTCGAAAAACTTTATTTGTTTACGCTAGTCTTGCCATCTAATAACAGGCTAATCAGATTATTAAATGAATAGCCAGATCCAGTCAGAGCAATCCAACGCGCTCTGAGATGCAGTCGCGTAACTCTTTAACCATAACTGCAGCCTTAGGATCGACATCTTAGCGAATATTATGACAATAAAAATCGGCATCATCGGGGCTCTTGAACAACCGGAGAAATCGACAAGCAAAGTTAAGGGTGACTTTTTCCCCTAGCTCTAGAAGACAAACCACTGGAGCTACAGAACTGAAATTTTGATATAACGTGTATTTAGTAATAAGCTAATTTTTTGACCAATTTTTAGATTTTTAACACATATACTTTGTATTTTATTGTGTTTTTTAGGAGTTTTCAACCCCTTACTAAAACAGTATAAGTTCTTCATAAATTTCGACACCGGGATTGGTCATAAACACCCCCTAGAACTGTAATAAAGCCCAAAGATTGTTCCGCCAACGTGTATATAACAGATTTCGAAAAAAGGCGGCCATATTGGGACCAACGGGCCGAAACTTTGCCTCCCGTAACTCTTTCGATACTCAAAATTTCTCAACGCGGTTTTCGAATTATTATTTGGCTTTAAATCCCCTAGGCCCCTTCAGGGCCCAAAATTCAAAAATCCCAAATTTTGAACTTTTCATTTTTCAAAAATTTTTCGGACCCAATATTCTTTCAGAACCTTGTTTTGGAAAGGGATTCCTCTTCTCCCCCAACCCAACGTCGAAGTCCCCACGCTTCTGCGACACGTATTGACGGAGATATTAATTTCCAAAAAGTGGTCGGCCATCTTGGTTCGGCCATTTTGGAAATTTTGGAATCTCCATATCTCCGCCAATATTGGACGTAGAGAGCGGAGATTTCGGATCATTTCCGTCCCCAAATGCCCTCTACACAACCCATAGAGTGAGGTTCGGATAGGAGGGGTTGAACTCAACCCCCCAATCTTGAGATTGCACGGCAAGACCTCACTCTCCTTCCAAATCCACTCCAAGCCCCAGTGTCGTGCGACGAATAGGGGTAGAGTTATAGTCCTCCAAAGTTTGGGGGGTCACTTCACCCCCTTTTTTTGAGAGGCTCGCGCACCTTTCGTCGTAGAAGAACAGGGTTTCCTATACATACAACCCCCTGCCAAGCCCTACCAGACCCACAGGGCAAATTTGCCCTAGCTCAAGGTCCCGGGGCAAATCCATCTGACCCCGAAAACAGGTGCGGCAGGATACCCTCTCCCATATACCAAAAAGTCCCAGTTCCACAGGGTTGATAGATCCGGAGATATTGGCACTCGTCCCATTCGGGCCGAGTTTTTTGCCGATTTTTGCAGGGGTATATCTCCGGAACCACTTAACGCAGCGAGGCGAGCGAGGCATCGGGAGAAAGGGCTCGAAAGGCACTATTCGACGGCACGGGAAGAAACCTTCTTGACTCGGGATTTTCCGGAAAATCCCGGAAAATACCGTAACTTCGCGATTTTTCGCGTAAAAATTCCAGAAAAATTTAAGTAGAAGTAGTTTTGCATAATAAAGAACATAACAAAAATTCATCATATAACAAACACAATTTTCTGGAAAAAGGTGACTTTTATTTGACCCTTGCTTGATACTTATTTTATCAAAAGTTGTAAGACGCTTCTCACAAGAGTCTCCCTCACCACCTGAAAGGGAAGACAACCAAGACGCAGGCAAACAATTCACACTCAGAACAAATGTGAAAAGAAGGTCACTAAACATCAAAGGAAAATATGACACCAAAATAAAGTACGAAATGGAAAAAAGTACAATGACCGACCTGCTGAAGCAAGTAATGCAGCTCTTCGAAGACACAGCCGAAACTGTTTACAATCAGATGAGGAGAGATGTCAAACTAAAAATAGAGGAGATAGCAGATAAAGGCCTGACAACTATGCTGGAAATCAGTAGAAGAATAGCGGAAGGAGAAATAGCGACAGGAAAGGAAGAGGTTAAAGGGAAAGCGGAAGAGCAATTGAGAGAAATAAAGGAAATGATAGGAAATAATATGAGAGAATGGAGAGAAGAAAAGGAAAAAGAAGAGAAGAAAAGGCAGGAAGCAGAAGAAGTCATCACAAATATAATAAAAAAAGAGATGAATAATATAAATGGGAAAATTGAATCATCAGAAGACAACATAACAGCAGAAGTGATAAACCTGCAAAACAAAATAAAAATGGATCTAGGAAGTGAAATAAAAGGAAAAGTTAGCGATATATTGGGCCCAGTAGAACTTTCGGTCATTAGAAGCGGTACAACGCAAATAATACAAGAAATTAAAAGCGTCAAAAAGAAGATGGAAAGTGAAATGGACAAATTGGTAGAAATACAGAATAAAACAGGGGGAGTAGAAAAAATAGTAGAAAGAATCGACGAAAACACCAATGAAATAATTGAAAAGTTAGACTTAGCATATGAGAACGTGGGAATTGTAATAGGTAATCAAAATGGTATACGCGGGATTGTGGATATAAATAAGGGAACACTAGAAGAAATAAAGGAAAAAACCGAAGAAACAAGAGACGAAATTAAAAGAACAATAATGGAAAGCAAAAAAGAAGGTGGCCAGGGAGGACGCACGGATACGTACGCCAACATAACAACAGGTTGATTGTATGCCTGGTAATAATGCCTGGTGGCCTAGAGTCCACTGCCAATTGCAAAAACTGAAATGCCCCTTAAACTTAAGAAGACTTGTAGCTAGCTATCTAAGTAATAGATCCGTGACGGTGAGGTATGCGGGAGAGGAAGTGAGTAGGAAAACAAATAAAGGTTGCGTACAAGGGTCCATAGGTGGACCCTTCTTTTGGAATATTATTTTGGACCCTCTCCTGAATATCCTCACCGAAAATGGAGTTTACTGTCAGGCCTTTGCGGACGATGTGGTGTTGATTGTGTCCGCGAAGACCACCAGCGTAGTTGAAACAATCGCAAATAATGCCCTAACCAAAGTAAGAGAATGGGGCGTTTCGAACAAGTTGAACTTTGCACCACAAAAAGCTAAGGCGCTTATAATCACCAAAAAATTAAAATATGATACGCCCCACCTAAAAATGGGGGGAATTAAATAGACATTGAAAATTAATTGAAAACGAAATAAAAATATTAGGGGTAATCGTAGATAAAAAGTTAACGTTCAATTCACACATTAGTTACATATGTAGAAAAGCGATTAATATTAAAGGTTTATCAACGTCAGCTAGAACTACATGGGGCCTCAACCAAGAGGTTATAAAAACTATATACACAGCGGTGATTGAACCAATCGTGCTGTATTCAGCAAGCGTATGGGGCAGGGAAGCGGAAAAGATCAAAAGTAAGAAAGCGCTAAACGCATTGCAACGGGGGTTCGCGCAGAAAATCGCGAAGACTTATAGAACGGTTTCTCTAAATTCTGCATTAATATTGTCGGGGCTGCTTCCGCTGGATCTTAGGATCCAAGAAGCATCCCGGCTTTATGAAGCAAAGCGCGGGAAACCCCAGGCAATATTAAGCGGCAGAAAAATAGAGGAGAGGGTATCCTTGCTGGAATCGAACCACCCCAGCAGCCTAAGTATGATAGAATATGAATGCTTGGAGAACGCAGAAGAGGATGGCAAACTGGCAGAAGGTCTTGTGAGGATCTATACAGATGGCAGCAAACTCGAGGGTAAAGTCGGTGCAGCCCTGACCTGTTGGAAAGGGGCTGTTGAGATCGCTTCCCGGAAGTTTAACTGGAGCCATACTGTACAGTCTTCCAAGCCGAGCTGTATGCCATCCTCCAAGCGACAGAATGTATGATGAGCAAAGAGTGGAAGGTGGTCGCGGTGCTTAGCGATTCGAGATCCGCCCTACAGTCACTGCAAGATCCAGACTCCTCGCACCCGATCACGAAGGCGATACAAGGCAACCTGACCCAACTTAGGGAACACGGCCATAAGGTCTCCCTAATTTGGATCAGGGCCCACGTCGGCGTGATCGGGAACGAGAGGGCGGACGAGCTGGCGAAGGGGGCGGCTCTAGAATTAAAATGTAAATCGCACTACGACGGTTGTCCCGTCTCTTTTGTTAAAAGGCATTTACGCAATTTGACAAAAGTAGAATGGGACGGCCGCTATAGAAGCGAGAGCACCGCGGCCAAGACGAAGGTCTTCTTTCCCAGTGGAGAGAAGGCCTTCGGCGTCGTACGAAAAATGAGAATTGAAAGGTGGGCTGCACAACTGCTAACGGGGCATGGAGGGTTTAGATCCTA